GGTGTCATTTCCCAACAGGCTCGACTCAGGATCTCCCACGTGGCCTCTGTCAACCTGCCGATGGACAGAGAATCGGTAGAAGGACTCAAACTCAGGCGGTCCCCACACTGCAGACCGCAACATCTTCTCAGGCTTAGCCAGCGGGCAGAACTTCTGTCTGAAGTAGATCAGTCTGAGTCGCGTGTCCGTTGGGCATTCTGGTAAAGTCACGTTGAGAGGTTATTTTTTTGGGGTTATTTTCTTTGAACCTAAGAAGATTAATTCCTGCAGTCACGAAAGCTTCAAGTCAAGATCTTAGCCGCATGGCGATCCATTCATAGATACGCCACCAAATCAAAAATATTACATTACAGAGAAACCGACATTGACGTCAAGGCCTCTCTGTACGTGGATTCCACCAACCTCAACACACATCGTCGTCATCATCATCAGCCAGGGTCAATCCACTGCTGATGAAGGCCTCCTCAAGCCTCCACCACCTCGTCACGATGCTGTCAGGATGTGGCCCTGCCCCCAGCTGTTCCACACACGAAGAGGCGATTTTATCTTCGCTTCATCTTCTCCTCTTCCTCGGTGTCGCCTCCTCTCTAGGACGCTGCGTTCCATCCCGTGGCTGCCTCGTAGCCGTGACGTGGGCGGTGCTGCTCGAAGCCCCAATCACTCACCCACTCACTCACTCACCCACTCACTCATCCACTCACTCATCCACTCACTCACTCACTCATCCACTCACTCACTCACCCACTCACTCACTCATCCACTCACTCACCCACTCACTCATCCACTCACTCACCCACTCACCCACTAACTCACTCACCCACTCATCCACTCACTCACTCATTCACTCACCCACTCACTCGCCCACTCACCCACTCACTCACTCATTCCCTCATTCACTCACTCATCCACTTACTCACTCATCCACTTACTCACTCATCCACGCACTCACCCACTCACAAACCCACTCACTCACCCACTCACTCACTCACTCATCCACTCACTCACTCACTCATCCACTCACTCACTCACTCACCCACTCACTCACCCACTCACTCACTCATCCACTCACTCACTCACTCATCCACTCACTCACTCACTCACCCACTCATCCACTCACTCATTCACTCACCCACTCACTCACCCACTCACTCTTTCATTCCCTCATTCACTCACTCATCCACTTACTCACTCATCCACTTACTCACTCACCCACTTACCCACTCACCCACTTACTCACCCACTCACCCCCTCACCGACTCACCCATGCACTCACTCACCCACCCACTCACCCACTCACTCACTCATTCACTCACTCACTCACTCACCCACCCACTCACACACTCACTCACCCACGCACTTACCCACGCACTCATTCTCCCACTCACCCACCCACTCACACACTCAATCACTCACCCACTCACGCACTCACCCACTTACTCTCCCATTCACTCACTGGCCCACACACTTTCTCACCCACCCACACACTCACACACTCACCCATCACTCACCCACTCACCCACCCACTCACCCACCCACTCACCCACCCACTCACTCACGCACTCACCCACTCACTCACACACTAACCCACCCACTCACACACTAACCCACCCACTCACTCACCCACTCACTCACTCATCCACTAACTCATTCACTCACTCCTCACTCACTCACCCTCACCCACTCACTCACCCACTCACTCACCCACTCACCCACTCACTCACCCACTCACCCACTCACTCACTCACTCACCCATTCACTCATTCACTCACCCACTCACTCACTCACCCACACACTCACTCACTCACCCACTCACCCACCCACTCACTCACCCACTCACTCACTCACTCACCCATTCACTCATTCACTCACCCACTCACTCACACATTCACTCACACATTCACTCACTCACCCACTCACCCACCCACCCACCCACTCACTCACCCACTCACTCACCCACTCACTCACTCACTCACCCACTCACTCACTCACCCACTCACCCACTCACTTATTCACTCTCTCACTCACTCACCCACTCACTCACCCACTCACTCACTCATTCACTCACCCACTCACTCATAAAATCACTCACCCACTCACCCACTCACTCACTCACCCACTCACTTATTCACTCTCTCACTCACCCACTCACTCACCCACTCACTCATTCACTCACCCACTCACCCACTCACTCACTCATCCAATCACTCACCCACTCACCCAGTCACTCACTCATCCACTCACTCACTCACTCACCCACCCACTCACCCACCCACTCACTCACGCACTCACCCACTCACTCACACACTAACCCACCCACTCACACACTAACCCACCCACTCATTCATCCACTCACTTACTCATTCACTCACTCACCAACCCACTCACCCACACACTAACCCACTCACTCACTCACCCACCCACTCACCCACCCACCCACTCACCCATCCACTCACTCACACACTAACCCACCCACTCACACACTAACCCACTCACTCACTCATTCCCTCACTCACTCACCCACTCACTCACCCACCCACCCACCCACTCACCCACTCATTCACCCACTCACTCACTCACACACTAACCCACCCACTCACACACTAACCCACCCACTCATTCACCCACCCACTCACTCATCCACTCACGCACCCACTCACCCACCCACCCACTCACCCACCCACCCACTCACCCACCTACTCACCCACTCACTCTCCTTAACACTCGGTGCGATGTCACGAATCCGAGTCCGTGTAACGTCTTCTCTCTCTCTCGAGTCTACAAGGTGGAGGAGCTCCTCCGCCTCCATTGCTGTTGTTCATCAAACCGCGTGTCCTCTGATCCACGTGCTCTTCGCTCGCAACGTTGAACTTCTTTCGCACCGTGCGTAGCCAACCGCGCTCATCGGCGATGGTTGTTGTTGTTGGTTGTTGTTGTTGTTGTTGCGTGTGGACAGTTTGAACGGTGCCGGCATGAACGCTGCGTGCACGCTCTCTCATCCACGTGTCCCCAACTCCCCGACGCGTCTCTCTCGGTCTCTCTCCACCCACACACACACAGAGACGTGCTGCTCATGGTAGGGACAAAGACAAAGATCCCCCGTATAGCCTTTGACGGTCTGTTAGGGCAAGTGCCGTTAGCGAGCAGCACCTACGAAGGCCGGCACGGCACACGAAGGTATAGGTTGGTCAGCACCACGCCCGGCCGCCTTTGTCTCCCCCAGTGGCGATGTTTACACCACGCCGCAGCAGGTATTCATTTGAGGCTGAGTCGACCTCGGCGAGGCCCAGGACAGGGTGTTGGGGCGTTGGTCGCGAGCGGGAATCGAATTCGGGGTCGAAGCTGAGTTCGTCGCGTGCCGCGCTAACCGCTGCGCCACCGCTCCCCTGATGGGAGGGACGCACAACAACAACAACGACAGCAACAACGACAACAACAGCAACAACGACAACAACAGCAACAACGACGGCGGCACGGAGCCACGCGGCTGCCCATGGGGGTCGACTGCTGCTCAAGGCGCCGCTGCTGCCGCTGCGCCGATTTTGGTTCGCGTTGTCGAGACGTGGTGGAGGGGTGTGTCTGTGTGTGCGGTGTGTGGTGTGTGTGTGTGCGGTGTGTGTCTGCGGTGTGTGGGGTGTGTGTGTGGTGTGTGTGCGGTGTGTGTGGTGTGTGTGGTGTGTTTCTGTGGTGTGTGTGTGTGGTGTGCGGTGTGTGTGTGTCTGTGGTGTGTGTGTGGTGTGTGTGTGTGTGTGGTGTGTGTGGTGTGTGTGGTGTGTGTGTGTCTGTGTGTGCGGTGTGCGGTTTGTGTGTGCAGTGTGTGTGTGTGGTGTGTGTGGTGTGTGTGTGTGGTGTGTGTGTGCGGTGTGTCTGCGGTGTGTGTGTGTCTGTGGTGTGTGTGTGGTGTGTGTGTGGTGTGTGTGTGGTGTTTGTGTGCGGTGTGTGTCTGCGGTGTGCGGTGTGTGTGTGTCTGTGGTGTGTGTGTGGTGTGTGTGTGGTGTGTGTGGTGTGTGTGGTGTGTGTGTGTCTGTGTGTGCGGTGTGTGTGTACGGTGTGTGTGCAGTGTGTGTGGTGTGTGTGTGTCTGTGTGTGTCTGTGTGTGTCTGTGGTGTGCGTCTGTGTGTGAGTGCGGTGTGTGTGTGTGTGTCTGCGGTGTGTGTGCGGTGTTTGTGCGGTGTGTGTGTGGGGTGTGTGTGGGCGGTGTGTGTCTGTGGTGTGCGTCTGCGTGGGAGTGCGGTGTGTGTGTGTGTCTGCGGTGTGTGTGCGGTGTTTGTGCGGTGTGTGTGTGGTGTGTGTGTGGTGTGTGTGTGTGTGTCTGTGTGTGCGGTTAGAATGCCCCCTGCCATAGAGACCGGGGGCTGGGGGGGGGCTACTAAAATGACAACAAGAAGAGACATTTGTTGTTGTTCGAATTGGCTCCAAGTAAAACACCACCCCACCCGCGGCAATGTTGCAAGAGCCCGCGCCATGCACCGCTGCTGCACGTGGTGGTGGTGATGGTGGTGGTGATGGTGGTAGTGGTGGTAGTGATGATGGTGGTGGTAGTGGTGGTGGTAGTGGTGGTGGTGATGGTGGTAGTGGTGGTAGTGATGATGGTGGTGGTGATGGTAGTGGTGGTGGTAGTGGTAGTGATGATGGTGATGGTGGTGGATACGAGACGGTGACGTCTGTGGAGGTTCCTTCACCAGTGAATGAATGAATGACGGTCACGTCGGGACCTTGAAGAGCCACCGCGCATTACCACCACGACCACCACCACCACGACCACGACCACCACCACGACCACCACCACCACGACCACCACCACCACAACCACCACCACGACCACGACCCTGCAGCACGTCATCTCGTCCAAGCGTCCCTCTCCGACTGCCTCTCTCCCCCTTCCCTTTGTGACGCCACCGCGAGACTCACATACCGAGACTGACCTACCCAGCGACCCACCACCACCACCACGTTCCTTCTCTCTCTCTCTCGAGACAATCATCGAGAGAGTCACTCGCAGGCGTTAGCCGGTGGGGTAGTAAGGCGAGTCGCTGTGGTAGTTGTAGTCGGGGCACACCTTCTGCACGAGCCGGTAGTCCGTGCTGAAGAAGGCGACGTAGATGCAGATGACGCTGAACGGCTTCGAGCAGAGCCACGACACGTGGCTCTGCGTCTGCTCCTGGTAGCAGTTCCTCGTCGGGTCGAAGTTGCAGAGCGACGTCCTCTTGGCGCGGTCCACCTTCTCGTACTCCACGCGGCAATTGAACGTCTTGGATGCCTTGGGGTCGACCAGTGTCGCTTGCTGCGTCGCGGCGCCGAAGCCCAGCGCCTTGGCAGGAGGCACCAGGCTGACCGAAACGTTGCCGTGGCCCGTGGAGTTGTGGCGAAAGTAGACGCTGAAGGTGCCGTTGCCGTGGTCGACGATCTTGCCCGTGATGAGCAGGTTCAGCTTGAGCGTCTTGATGTTCGAGTTGAAGTCGCCCCAGCCGAACATCTTCTTGAAGCGGCCCGTCTTCACCATGGGGCGACGCCGCGGACGCGAACGCGCCTGGCCTGGCTGCTGATGATAATGCTGATGATGGTGAGGCTGTAGCTGCTGTAGCTGCTGCTGCTGTTGTAGCTGCTGCTGATGATGATGCTGCTGCTGATGGTGATGCTGTAGCTGTTGTAGCTGCTGCTGCTGCTGCTGATGCTGCTGCTGATGCTGTAGCTGCTGTAGCTGCTGCTGTAACTGCTGTAGCTGATGTGGCTGTAGCTGCAGCTGCTGCTGCGGCTGTAGATGCTGCTGTAGCTGTGGCTGTAGCTGCTGCTGTGGCTGCAGCTGCTCTTGTAGCTGCTGCTGTTGCTGATACTGATTCTGCTGCTGCTGATGATGATCATACTGAGTCAACTGCTGCCGCTGCTGCTGATACTGACTCTGCTGTTGCTGCTGCTGTTGCTGCTGCTGTTGCTGCTGATGATCATACTGAGTCAACTGCTGCCGCTGCTGCTGATACTGATTCTGCTGTTGCTGTTGCTGCTGCTGCTGTTGCTGCTGTTGCTGCTGCTGCTGCTGTTGCTGCTGTTGCTGCTGCTGATGATGATGAGTGGAGGAGGAGAGCCACCCCCAGAGAGGCCCCGTGGTGCGTGCGAGGCCCTGCACGGCGAGACGCCGCGACCCAGACAGAAAGTTCGTCAGCTCGGGGCCTTGCGGACGGCGCAGAAGAAGAAGATGATGATGATGATGCAGGAGATGCTGATCGTGATGCTGCTGCTGCTGCTGACTACCACCACCACCACCACCGTCATAATCATTATACTCATCTTGATCTTGCTGGAGAAGATATCCCTGCTGCGGATAAGAGTGATGCTGCTGCTGCTGCTGATGATGATGATCACGTTCAGTCTGTTCATGCTCATGTTGATCTCCCCGCTCATTCTGATTGAGCTGCTGCTGTAGCTGCTGTAAACGTTGATCGTGACCATCAACATCGCCATCATCATGTTGCTGCTGCTGCTGTTGCTGTAAACGTTGATCGGTGACCATCAACATCGCCATCATCATGTTGCTGCTGCTGCTGTTGCTGTAAACGTTGATCGTGACCATCAACATCGCCATCATCATGTTGCTGCTGCTGTTGCTGTAAACGTTGATCGTGACCATCAACATCGCCATCATCCTCCTGCTGCTGCTGTTGCTGCTGCTGCTGATGATGATTCTGCTGCTGATGGGTATCGAGGAGGAGAGGACCGTAGGGACCGGCGCTGGCGACTTGATCATCCGGCCCGGCACTCGAAGCGGACTCGGCTGGCGAAGCGACGTCACCCCAGGCCGGTGGCGAGCTCAGTCCACCACCACCACCACCCACCTGGCGCAGACACAGCGCACACAACATTAGTGTTTAGATTTAAAGCTTCTTTCGTGACTGCAGGGATTCATCTTCTTGGTTCTTTCGGTAAAGTTACGTAGAAGGGAAATAATAAAATAATAAAACATAGTAAAATAATTTCGATTTAAAGCTTCTTTCGTGACTGCAGGGATTCATCTTCTTGGTTCTTTCGGTAAAGTTACGTAGAAGGGAAATAATAAAATAATAAAAATAAAGCATAATAAAACAATTCTCACAACGTTTCGGCTACAACGCAAGCAGTCCGTCCTCAGGTGAAGACCAGGTCTGCTTGCGTTGTGGCCGAAACGTCGTGAGAATTGTTTTATTATGTTTTATTTTAATTATTTTATAACTTCCTTTCTACGTGACTTTACCGAAAGAACCAAGAAGATGAACATTCGTGTTGTTCACGCAGAATTAGCGTCGTCGTCATCGTGGTGTGATGTGTAGAAACAGCCAGACAATATGGCAAATCGACAACCTTAAACACCCATTCTAGATTTGAAGCTTTCGTGAGTGCAAAGATTCATACTCTTTGTTTTTTTCGGCAAAGTCACGTAGGCAAAAATTAAAATAAAATAAATGAAAACAACTATATTAAAAAAACTGATTGTTTTCATTTATTTTATAAATCACTGATTAAATTTAGTTTTAATTTATTTTATTTTTTACCTAAGTGACTTCAACGCCCAGTCGTTCATAACAGTTGAAGGCGGTATAGTACTATAGTAATAGAGCAAGTGCAGAATCACTGAACTGGAATTGATAGCTTGAAAGCGTTTAGCGCGGGGCCCTTGAAAGTGCGGGACCCGTAGCATTTGTATCTACTTGTGTGTTACTACGATCATCGGGCACTGGGGGGGGGGGGGGGTAATTCACGGCTCCGTCTCCTTCCGTGGAGGTGCTCCCGGACGAGTTTTCAACCCCCACCAAGACCCCCCCCCCCCGACATTACTACAGACCAACTCACACCCTCGTGGTCACCCCGTGGCCCTGATACAGCTCCTACAAAGTCCCATCATCACAAGAGATGAACACAAGCAAATAGACAATCACCACTAGTACACTCACCACTAGCACACTCACCATTAGTACACTCACCACTAGTACACTCACCACTAGTACACTCACCACTACACTCACCACTAGTACACTCACCACTAGTACACTCAACACTAGCACACTCACTACCACTACACTCACCACTACACTCACCACTACTACACTCACTACTAGTACACTCACCACTAGTACACTCACCACTAGTACACTCACCACTAGCACACTCACCACTAGTACACTCACCACGAGCACACTCACCACTACTACACTCACCACTAGTACACTCACCACTAGTACACTCACCACTACACTCACCACTAGTACACTCACCACTAGTACACTCACCATTCGTACACTCACCACTAGTACACTCACCACTACACTCACCACTAGTACACTCACCACTACACTCACCACTAGTACACTCACCACTAGTACACTCACCATTCGTACACTCACCACTAGTACACTCACCACTACACTCACCACTAGTACACTCACCACTACACTCACCACTACACTCACCACTAGTACACTCACCACTAGTACACTCACCACTAGTACACTCACCACTACACTTACCACTAGTACACTCACCATTAGTACACTCACCACTAGTACACTCACCACTACACTCACCACTAGTACACTAGTACACTCACCACTAGTACACTCACCACTAGTACACTCACCACTAGTACACTCACCACTACACTTACCACTAGTACACTCACCATTAGTACACTCACCACTAGTACACTCACCACTACACTCACCACTAGTACACTAGTACACTCACCACTAGTACACTCACCACTAGCACACTCACCACTAGTACACTCACCACTAGTACACTCACCACTACACTCACCACTAGTACACTCACCACTACACTCACCACCACTACACTCACCACTAGCACACTCACCACTAGTACACTCACCACTAGTACACTCACCACCACTACACTCACCACTACTACACTCACCACGAGTACACTCACCACTACACTCACCACTAGCACACTCACCACCACTACACTCACCACTACAGTCACCGCTAGTACACTCACCATTAGTACACTTACCACTAGTACACTAGTACACTCACCACTAGTACACTCACCACCACTACACTCACCACTACACTCACCACTACTACACTCACCACTACACACACTCACCACTACTACACTCACCACTAGCACACTCACCACCACTACACTCACCACTACACTCACCGCTAGTACACTCACCATTAGTACACTTACCACTAGTACACTAGTACACTCACCACTAGTACACTCACCACTAGCACACTCACCACCACTACACTCACCACTACACTCACCGCTAGTACACTCACCATTAGTACACTTACCACTAGTACACTAGTACACTCACCACTAGTACACTCACCACCACTACACTCACCACTACACTCACCACTACTACACTCACCACTACACACACTCACCACTACTACACTCACCACTAGTACACTCATCACTAGTACACTCACCACTACACTCACCACTAGTACACTCACCACTAGTACACTCACCACTAGTACACTCACCACTAGTACACTCACCACTACTACACTCACCACTACACACACTCACCACTACACTCACCACTAGTACACTCACCACTAGTACACTCACCACTACTACACTCACCACTACACACACTGACCACTAGTACACTCACCACTAGTACACTCACCACTAGTACACTCACCACTAGTACACTCACCACTACACTCACCACTAGTACACTAGTACACTCACCACTAGTACACTCACTACTAGTACACTCACCACTACACTCACCACTACACTCACCACTAGTACACTCACCACTACACTCACCACTACACTCACCACTAGTACACTCACCACTACACTCACCACTACACTCACCACTAGTACACTCACCACTAGTACACTCAACACTAGTACACTCACCACTACATAGCTGTTAACCCCTTATCAGTGCCCTACCTTATTACAGACCAATTCAGACCTTAGTGGTCACCCCGTGCCCTTATACATCTCAACGCTCATCCTACAAAGTCCCATCACCACAAGGGGAGAAACACAAAGAAATAGACAAACACATTTGTGTGGCTCGTATTGAAACGGGTGTACGCCGTGTAGACCCCAGAACTTGATTCCCCTATAGAAGAATACGGGGTGAACCGTGTGGGTTGACACGTTTGTCAACGTCGCCCCAGGTTCCTCTTACTATACTTGAACAATTTGATTGTTACTTGTGATTTTAATAATAACAAAATATCCATAAATATAGATGCAAAACACAAATTGGAGTTATATCGCGTAAATAAGAATGTGCCGTACACCCTCCTCCACCCGACGCAGACAAGTGGTAAGGTTTGCCACGATGTGAATAGAATGTGACAAGGTGTGTGTGTGGGACTTCTTTCGCACCGTACGTAGCCAACTGCGCTAAGTGGAGGTGCGGGGGAAGAACAACAAACTATGAGTCTCTGTGTGAGTCTGTGGGTCTCTGTGTGAGTTTATGGGTCTCTGTGTGAGTTTATGGGTCTCTGTGTGAGTCTATGGGTCTCTGTGTGAGTCTATGGGTCTCTGTGTGAGTCTATGGGTCTCTGTGTGAGTCTGTGGGTCTCTGTGTGAGTTTATGGGTCTCTGTGTGAGTCTATGGGTCTCTGTGTGAGTCTGTGGGTCTCTGTGTGAGTCTGTGGGTCTCTGTGTGAGTCTATGGGTCTCTGTGTGAGTCTATGGGTCTCTGTGTGAGTCTGTGGGTCTCTGTGTGAGTTTATGGGTCTCTGTGTGAGTCTATGGGTCTCTGTGTGAGTCTGTGGGTCTCTGTGTGAGTCTGTGGGTCTCTGTGTGAGTTTATGGGTCTCTGTGTGAGTCTATGGGTCTCTGTGTGAGTCTGTGGGTCTCTGTGTGAGTCTGTGGGTCTTTGTGTGAGTCTGTGGGTCTCTGTGTGAGTCTATGGGTCTCTGTGTGAGTCTGTGGGTCTCTGTGTGAGTTTATGGGTCTCTGTGTGAGTCTATGGGTCTCTGTGTGAGTCTGTGGGTCTCTGTGTGAGTCTGTGGGTCTCTGTGTGAGTTTATGGGTCTCTGTGTGAGTCTATGGGTCTCTGTGTGAGTCTATGGGTCTCTGTGTGAGTCTGTGGGTCTCTGTGTGAGTCTGTGGGTCTATGTGTGAGTCTATGAGTCTATGTGTGAGTCTATGAGTCTCTGTGTGAGTCTGTGGGTCTCTGTGTGAGTCTATGTGTCTCTGTGTGAGTCTATGTGTCTCTGTTAGAGTCTATGGGTCTCTGTGTAAGTCTATGTGTCTCTGTGTGAGTCTATGTGTCTCTGTGTGAGTCTGTGGGTCTCTGTGTGAGTTTATGGGTCTCTGTGTGAGTCTATGGGTCTCTGTGTGAGTCTATGAGTCTATGTGTGAGTCTATGAGTCTCTGTGTGAGTCTGTGGGTCTCTGTGTGAGTCTGTGGGTCTCTGTGTGAGTCTATGGGTCTCTGTGTGAGTCTATGGGTCTCTGTGTGAGTCTATGGGTCTCTGTGTGAGTCTGTGGGTCTCTGTGTAAGTCTATGGGTCTCTGTGTGAGTCGATGGGTCTCTGTGTGAGTCTGTGGGTCTCTGTGTGAGTCTATGGGTCTCTGTGTGAGTCTATGGGTTTCTGTGTGAGTCTATGAGTTTCTGTGTGAGTCTATGGGTCTCTGTGTGAGTCTATGGGTCTCTGTGTGAGTCTATGGGTCTCTGTGTGAGTCTATGGGTCTCTGTGTGAGTCTATGGGTCTCTGTGTGAGTCTATGTGTCTCTGTGTGAGTCTGTGGGTCTATGTGTGAGTCTATGGGTCTCTGTGTGAGTTTGTGTGTCTCTGTGTGAGTCTATGAGTCTCTGTGTGAGTCTATGGGTCTCTGTGT